TTGCGATTTTGTTGGTCATTTTGGCAAATCCGGAAAAAGTTGATTAAAATCGTATATTATATGGGATTTTTGGTCACTGAGGTTATTTTCTCTTTAAAAAATAAAAAGAAAAGGTAGGATCAACAAATTAAATGTATAGATAATAAAAATGAACGACTTATGACTGGAAAAACACAAATGAGCTTCTTCAAGAGAATGCAGAACCCCCGGTTATGAATTAGGATTTTTGTCAGCAAAAAAAAAAAAGATTGGTGGCATTAGTTCACATGATGCGTTCAATATTTACATAGCATGCAGCACCTTGGATTTTCTATCAAAAGAATCATTTTTGATGTATTTAGATATATTAAACCAGAGAAATCAAAAGAACCAATTAGTAATTCAAGTTCCATAAAACAGAAAGAGAAAAAGGTGCTGGACTTTTCCACTGAACCAGAGAATGGTTATAAAACTGCCAAGTATTTGTGTTCATCATGTCAAAAGTGAACATACTGCGACTTCTACAGGCCAGTTCTACCTTTTCCTTCCTCCAGAGAAGTGGCGGAGTTCTGCAAGAAGCTCATCATCTCTTTGCTGCAGCGAGCCTGAGAATACATCTACAACATAACTTTTCTATCTACGACCATCTTTCTCAAAGCAGATGCCTCTTCAATGCTAACTAATCCACCAAGAACCATTGAGTCTATCCGAAGTAACAGTTCCCAGCACAGAGCAGGATTATCTGGTCAAAACAGGACAACCTAAAATCGCTTTGATGAACTTGAACTGGTAGTTAGCTTATGCTCAAGAATTCCTAAATTAAAACACGTTACGTCATTACCTAATATATAGAGGTTCATTAAAAACTTGACCAACAGAAAACATATCAACAATTATCCCTCTCGGGTGAAACATGCATGCCTAATTCTCTTGCAGCGTCACTAACGGTGACAACTGGTTAATAATTTTACGTGAATGGCCCAAAAGAAACTGAAATTTAAGCCTCTGGCTCTGGCACGACCTAAACTCCTATAACTAACTGAAGGCAGCACATGGAAAAAGGCATTCTCAAGTATCATCATCTCCTTTTGAAACAACCAAGTTTGGACAGCTCAAACAGGTATGAGCAGGGCCGATCCAATGAGTTTTAATGCTCTGGGCGAGATAATAATTTTATGCCCCTATACTTGTACCGTATAATAGACAAAACATAAACATTTTTTTTAAAATAAAAATGTAATAGAAATTATAGTCAAACAAAATCAATACTAATACAAACCAAAACCTACAAGGCTACAAATGTCACCTAAAACGATGCCCCCTACCATCGACCGATCAGGTGTTTTGGGCTAATTTTTTGGGTCAAATATATATATATACAATAGAGAAGGATAAGGCTCATCTGGCACATGTATTGGGCCAAACTAAACAATTTCTAGTGTTTTGAATGTTCCACTATCATCAAATTGGTGTATACAGATAAAATAACAAATTGAGCTTTACATTACCTGGGCACATGCTAAAGAAAAGTGCAGAGAGTCACCATGCTTCCAATGACTTCCCCAAAAGTGAAATACACCGAAGATTAAAGCAAAATATTAGAGTGCAAATAGAGAGGTGGAATCCACGATCTCAAATCTTTGCAAGTCTAAAAGCTTTCATGCACCTGGGCTAATCTAGCCAAAAGATACAGTGCAAGAGTACGTCTTCGGCTTGAATCATCCAAAGCCAAAATAGACAACCCTGCAATTGAACCTGCTAAAAGTCTGTTCCAGCATAACCTAAAACAATGTCAAATAAAAGAATATTGTTCTAGCAAGCATCAAAAGATTTCAAATATTCAAATAAGCATTTATCATAAGCCACAATTAGATATGAATCTCTTAGGAACCAACCACTTAAAAACAAGACAAAAAAAGCCAAAGTAAGGCCTTATATAGCGAACTTACGCATTCACTGGTGTATCTTTCTTTCTCAGCTTCCTTAATAAACATCTAAGCAAATGATATGACCCGGTGAAACCTCCAAAAAGTAAACCAATGCGGCATGCTTCCTCTCTCACAATCAAATCTTTCTCCGAGACAAGTTGCTGATGAACAAATTTATACATTCAAACATTGTTAATATCAATTTTATGCATATTCTTACACAATAATTCCTAGCAAACCCAAATAATGAATTACAAAATCACAGCAAATTTGCCAACCAATCATCTAATCTCATCAGCTTTTTTTTGTTCTCTTTTGAAAAAAAAATAGTTCATTTTACTAGTTCAGTAAGAGTGTTTGGAAGGTTAAAACCCTAACCTTGAGATCAAGAAGCGAAGAATAAGACTGTCTTCTGGCGTGCTTGAAAGCGCGGAGAAGAATCCCGATGCCCACTCTAACACCATAAGAAAGGAGAAAAGTTTGGCAAAGATTGCCAATGGCGTTGGCCACGCAGGAGTTATCAGCATGGTCGCACGGGGGGTTGTCGCCACTCGCCACCGTCCTCTGACGCCTATGGAGCTCCTCTATTGCTTCCCTCAATCGCTCCTCCGCGGCGCCTTCGCTATTGTATATACCATAAGAAAGGATAAGAACTGATGCCCCTCAAACATGCAGCCCAAACATGATGCCCTGGACGAAGGCCCATATGGCACATGTATTGGGCCGACCTTGGGTATGAGATGTATGGAAGTAGCCCTACAAGAATATACGATATAGAAGCAACAGCATTATCATTTTGGCAAATACCAAACACAGCTTGAAAGAACATATTTCTTGTTAAAGCATTAAATTGACAAGCAAGACATGCTCGAAATTTGTAGACTTGGGATGAAACTACAATAAACCATAATTAACTGTTGCAAATACAATAAGCGGAGTTCAAGATTCACCTTTCCCTCTGGATTCTCTCTCCAATTGATTTATCTTGTCACTCAATAGCTTATTCTCCCTGTATGTTTTTTCCCACCCTTCGACGGCCTTCGCCCGTTGTCTATCCAAATATAGAATATCTGATATAAAATGAGAAGCACACAAAAGAAAAAACTTAAAAATAAACAAAGGATGTCAAAATTTTCCTCATCAAATAAAGACTTACTCGTCTGAGCTTCCGTGAATAGTGTCCATATCCAATTCATAATCGGATAATTCTTCCTATGAAAAAAAGCAGCAACAACAACAGAAAAACCTTCCTTGAAAATGGAGTTCAAAAATAAAAGTACTACTTAATAATGTTTAAACTTTTTAAGAAAAGAATCAATAATGTTACTTTCTACCTCCAACATAATATTTGAATTGGCATTACATTTTACATAAAATACGAATAATAAAGAAAAAGGAGCAAGACATGGAATTTTACCGATGACGATTCCTCAGCATCTGGACCTTCATTCCTAAAAATGCAGATAAAAAAGAAATTAACAATATTAAATTTAGCAAACAAAATATAATAAATTCAACAAAAAAGGAAAAGGAAGCTCACTCCATAGGTGAAGGAGTACTAGGGAAGCCATTGATTCCATTTCCACAATTATTCCTGAAATCAAACAAAAGTGGATTACAAGACTGCAAAAGAGTTCAAACCTGCTGAAAATTTAGAGAGGTATTCGAAGTTTACCTAACGCAACGAAGCGAAGGAGGGTTAAAGAATTTAGCATTAGGCGCAGTTCTGGGAATGAAGAAGCCACGAGAAGGTGAAGGAAGGATCGCGGGGTTTATCAAAGTTTCCATTGACATCCTCCAATGAATTCCTCAGGCGCGCACAACTACGGGCTACGAGTGAGAGAGAATGCTCACATACTTGATACCATGTCTATTTCGTTTCGTTTAAATGACCATAAAATTAATAGTCGACGGTTATACGAATGGGCAGTTTTGTTTGTTGAAATCTGTTTTGACCTTTTTTTATTAGGGTAAACTACAACTTTAGTATCTAAACTATCACTTTGTTCTGTTTTGGTACAGAAAATTTATTTTGTTTCAAAATCATACTTAATGTTTAGTTTATGTATTATTTTGATACTAAAATGGAATAAAAGTAATATTGTAGGTACTAAACATATAGTTTACCCTTATTATTATTATTATTATTCATTTATTTCTCATACTAAGATCACATTTTCTTTTGGGTTAACGACATTAATGGTCACCGAAGTTATGATAAGTTTTTTTTTTCAAATTATTGAAGTATAAATTAATTGGACAAAATAAGTAAGCTAATCTTAATTACTGAAGTCTAAATTTGATGATAAAAATTCTATCGGTCATGTTAGAAGTAATATAATTTTTGTCCTCAAAGTTAGAAAAAGAAAAGTTAGTATGATCCTAAAAAAATTCTCTTCCTTTATCCTCGAATAGTTAAATTTTATTGAATTAAATTAATTAATATAAAAATAACATACTTATTAAATTGACGGTTTATTTTAATTTTTTGTCAATGTTTACATTATATATTTCACGCCTTTTTAGTAAAAGAAAATTAAAACTCAAAATTATTTAAATTTTATAAAAAAAATTAAATGAAGATATTTAAACTATTAAAGATAAAATAATTGATATCGGTTTAATATTTCTAGTATTTTTTTTGTAATTAAATTAATTTAATAAAAATTCAAAATTCAAAAACTAAAAAGAAACGTTTAGAAACTGAATATCATTAAACTAATATACTGATAACGTCTATCACTAATATTAGCCTACCTAAGAAGAATGATATCATAATTTTGATAATTGCAGGCTCTAATGACAATATTATTGGAAAATAAATAAGATTTAATGACAATACTTTTTTCACACTTAATACATATTTACATTTCTCATTCCAACTTATTATTCTTTCTCCTTTACCTACATTGTATTACAATTTATTAGTAAAATTAATTTACCATTATTAATATAATAATTGTAAGAACGTACAGGACATATTTTGATTGCTAAGGCCGTAAGAAAAGAGCGTTGTGCATTAACTTTCAATGTTAACAGAAGCGTTTATTAAAGAAAAAGAAAATCTAATGTATTATTTCTAAAACTCCAAAGTAAAACACTAGTTGAATTTCAATTGGGACAAAAGAAAACCGTTCTTCAATTTGTAATTACATAAGGAATATATAACACCGGAGGATGAAAAATGATTTTTGAGCCATCCATCCATCCATCAGTGTCGGCTCAGCTTGCGCTTCTTGGCCATCCGCTCCCGCCGCTCTTCCTCCTCTATCAGCCTCAATTGTTCTTCATCCTCTTTCCTTGCTATTTGAGCACTGCAGGGAAGAAACAAGTTATTAGGTACTAATCATTTTAACACTACTAAATGCTAGCAAGATATTTCTAACAAAGAAAAACGGGTTCAGGAAATTTACTAACCTTCTTCTTTCCTCCTTCATTATCTCATCCCAGTTTGCCTCCATGTCACTAACATCATCATCGTCACAAACTGGATATCTATCAGTGCTGCAATGGAGTAATCAAATATTAGAAAACTAAGTTTTAAACATTCAAACCAAAATAGTGAAAGCAACAAAGTTAGTTACTCTTCCAGTTAATGAGACCGAAGATCTCAATGAAAGGTCAAGGAGAGAGAAACATGGCAGGAAAGAGAACTTACTGGAACATATTTCTGATCATCATTAGAGCCTTTTCATCTTCACTTAATGCAATTTTCTTGGGTCTTTGTACATTTGACTTCATTTGAGTGTGAGATGAGACTTGCTTCACTGGCTTCTTTAACTGTGGCTTTGATGATACTAGAGGCCTTTGGGGCATCATTTTATCCTTGTTACGTTCTTGTAATCCCCGTTTCTGTTCCAACTGCTGTCTTGATTCAGAGGAGTGCACTCTTGATGGAGGTGCTTTGTGCGCACTGGGTGGGAGACTCCTAGAAGTTGGTGCAGATACCTTCTCCATCTTTGGAATAGGCATCTTTGAAGGCACCGGTTTATAGCCAGCAGGCCGGCCAGACTCGGTACCATTGCTAGCACCAATAGGCCGTCCAGGCCCGGTACCATTGCTAGCTCCAACAGGCCGTACAGGCCCGGTACCATTGCTAGCTCCAGCATGCCGATTAGGGCCAGTACCACTGCTAGCACCAACAGGTCGACCAGGCCAAGTACCACTGCTAACACCAACAGGTCGTCCAATTCCGGTACCATTGCTAGCACAAACAGGCCGGCTAGACCCCATACCCCTACTAACACCACCAGACCGACCATTCCCCATGCAATTTGTAACACCAAGCTGCTTTTTAGAATCCATTGACATCCCATTTGGTTTACTGCCAGAAGAAGTGTTATAGGTACCAGTTTTAGATTGCAATTGACCCTTCAGTGGAACTGATTTCCTTTCATCACGGATGCCTTGCAAATTTCTGGCACTATTGTTGTTGCTGCTCAATGGTTGTTTGCTTTTCAGCAACATTTGAGCTGATCGCACCTCTTCAAAAAAAAAACTGTAAGTTATTTATGCTTTAAGCTTCAGAAGTAGAAAACACATTTCATGCAGTCAAGAAGTAACCTACCAGATGTTGGAGCAGAAACATTTCGAGGTGGAGGATCTTTTGCAGGAGCTGGAAACCCCGTATCATCTGAGAGAAACGAGTAATCTCTTGCAACCTTAAGCTTCTCCACTTTCCTTCTGAGCTGCACAAGTCCAGCAAATGAAAACATTTGTTATCACAGACCAGAGCTCTTTCAAAAGATAAAACCAAATTAGAAATGCTCAGAGCAAATACCTCACTTGGAGGTTTGAGTACTTTGCCAAGTTGGGCTTGTTTGGGTCCAGTGCTGTTTGAAGCAGGGTTCTTTTTACTCTACAGAAAATCACAAGGTTGTCAATACAAATTCAGAACACCTAGAACGAATTGGAATCCTTCAATCAGTGTAAAAAACAGAGCTTTAAAAGAAGCTATTAACATCATCAACATATACAAAATGGGTGCAGAGTAAGTGAAAGATTGTGAATATCAAAACATGACTCTATGTCCAAGCACTAGACATGCATGATTAGGAATGTTAAAAGGATTCCGCATCTACTTGGGCCCGGCACAATAAAAAAACTTGAAATTTGGCTTAGACATAACCAAGCCAAACTCATGTAATTAATTGTGCATGCCATGTTCAAGAATCTTAATACTTATCGAACATCTTGCAAGCCAAATGGAACTTTTTATTATTTCATATATTTTAAATTTTTTTTAATTACTATTGAAATCTTTCAACTCAAACTTGAGCACAAATAATCTGTTTAAAGTTGAGCATGGAAATCAAGCACATTTTTTACGAAGTAACTCGAGTCTAATCTTGTGAAGTCAAGCAATTCAATTTTCAACTCAAATTAAACTTGAGGTTTAGAAATGAAACCCAATCGAGCTAGGTGGAGTTTCAAGATGTAAGTTATGAGCAGAGTTCAAGCTCTTCACTGCTTGAGTGCTTGGCTTGATTAAACCCCCTATGCACACTATACATTGCAGGAAAAGTTATATATTTGGTTGCTGTACTTGTGCATATTTTTAGAACTGTCAAAGGTATAGAATTATCCAATAAAATAAATAACAACCGCCGTAGGCTGACTGAGCTCATCAGATTGGAGTTTGCATAACCATGCAAATCAATATAAACACAGAAAACATATGAGCACTTCACATTAAGAAAATGAAACACAAGTTATACTTACAGACTGATTGGTGCTCAACATCTTTGATACCAAATTCTGGTTTTCCAATAATGACTTGCTTTCATGGATAACTCTCTGAGCAATAACAGGTTGAGAAGGTCCAAAAAAGGATCCAAAGCTGCAGGAAGACAGCACTTTTAAACTTAATTAGTATAGTTAAAGTTAAGTAAACCTGGAATAGACGCACTTAGCAACTACCATGAGGAATAGAAGGAAAGCATTTTACATTCAATAAGCCTGAATTCAGAATAGTGTTCAAGTGTCGAAGAACTTAAACAATAGAAAATTAATCCGCAAAAGGACGCACGTCACTCACTTGTTGTATGGAAGCTTCTTCTCCGAAGAAGCTAAAGCACTTTGTTTCCTCTTTCGCCTGATAGAGTCTTTCAGCCGCTGCCTTAACTCTAGGTATTCTACTTCTTCTTGTGTAGGCTGTCTGGTTTCTTCTTCCTCTTCCTCTTCTTCTTCCTCATATTCATCCCCATATTCTTCCACAACATCCTCATCTTGATATTCCCCTTCCATGTCATAATCATCATAATCTTCAACTTCCTAGATAGGAAATAAGAACGGATAATATGCAAATTAAAACTTAAATGAAGGATACAAAAATTCCCCATCATGAAGAACAGATATAAAATATGCAAACAACAATCCTAAACTTTATCATTTTCCATAAGGTTAGCAATATACGTATTTCTTCCTTAGAGTAGACTTACTTCTCGGTCGTATCCCCTCATTGCTCAAGCAAGCACCAATTAACAATATTGCTTCTTTATTGTCTCGAATGAACTTATCCGAAAAAATGCAGGATACCTGAACATCAATCAATTAATAATGTTAATGATAAAATACGAAAGTACGAAACTTTTGAAGAAAATTAACTACAAAATGATTAATTTTGCTTATAATCTAGATAAAGATTCTAATTGAGTAAAATTAAACCTAGATTAATTTGGCTCACTGAGGTCTATATTATTTTGAAATATAAAAAAAATATGAAGTATTCTGAAGAAAATGTTCCAACTAAAACACCTAAATTCTTCAGATTATTGAAAAATGTTAAATTTCATATTTTCATATAAAAAATAAGCCAAAGCACAAACAAAAAAGCATCGGAGAATAATAACGATGAAAGAACACACAAAAAACCCTAATTTTCTTCCCAGAAATAGATTCGATTACTGCAACGAGGAGCAATCTGAAAACGAATCTGTCGAAATTTAATTTAATAAAAATCAAATTCGGTAACACCGATTTGGTCAATCCCACGAAAAGAGGTTAAAAAGGAAAAACCCCAAAACAAACATAAATCGAAATTGATAGATCTGACAGAACCGACACATAATACCTTTAATCGGATCGAATATCGACGAAATCCTCGATTTTTCAAGCGAAAATCTTAAACCGGCGCCTCCAAAGAGAGTTTTGGATCTGCTTCAAGGAAACAGAGAAAACGAAACGTAAATCTTCGATCTTCGGGAGTATTGAAGGATGACTCGGGCAATGATAGGTTTAAATATAAGGGAGAAAAAAAGAAGCTCCCAGAAACGAAAGGCAAAGGGATTGATTCTAACGTGCGCTTTTGGATAATAAGGGCACACTTATTTTCCGAGTTCGGTGAGTGACTCGGGAGCTAACTCGGCCCAAGTCCTATTTGGATTAGGAAGTTGACAGAACTGTGTTTTATTTTGTGACCATTTTTCTTAAACCAAAGACATTGATACGGCACGAAACACGGCCGTTTTACTTTCTACTTACTGATTAGAGTGGCTCGTAATGGAAACCTATAAATGATCAATATTATATACATATATATTAAGAATAGTGCTTTAATATGAGATAAAAATTAAAAATGTCATTAAAATTATTTTAGATTTACTTTTTAATAATAATTTTTACTTTTTAATAATATTTTTTTTGTGGATAATTAAGATTTTATTACCCAAGAATGCAGTAAACTGCAACAGAAACAATCCAATCAAGGAACAAGAAGGGGAACCTATTTACAACAAAAAATTAAACTATACCTCATTGATTACAAAGAGTTAAATTAGTGCTATCTAATATGTTAACATTCCTATCACATAGTTGAGCTCCTACAATCTCCTTGATGGAATTTAGAATTTCATCCACTGATTTGGAGTTCCCTCTAAACAGTCTTCGATTCCTTTCCTCCCATATGAAATAATTAAAAGCACACCAAGCAAGCTTCAAGATAGTTGTAAGTAGGGACTTACCTTTCCAACGATTGCACGTCCAACCAAGTAAGTTTACCCAAGTCAATTAAGGTCTGCTCAAGCCGATGAGGTGCAGAATAGTGCTCCAAATAGTAGCAGCCATCTTGCACTCAGCAAAAAGATGATCTCTGGTTTCCAGAGCTTCATTGCAGATAACACATTGTCCATTAGTTACTAATCCAATACGTTGAAGTCTCTCCCTAGTTGAAAGTCTATCCAAAATAATCATCCAGGAAATCATGCTATGTTTAAGGATATGTAGAGGAAACCAGATCATTTTTTTTCATGGAACTTTGATATCTTTGGTCTGAACCTCTTCCTAAATTTCTTTAGTTTTCTTTGCTCCTGTAGACAAAACTGGTTGAGCAATAGTTCGAAGCTTCAAAAGTCTCCTGATGCACCAACTTGAACTTGTTGTTTCTTCCATGAGCCAAAACTCCTGATTCTTGATTATGTAGTTTTTGATCCAAGCAACCCACAAAGAACCCTCCCCCGTAAGGATATTTCTAATAAGGTGCAACATATACGCTTTATTCCAAGTTTTGATGTCCTTAAGACTGAGGCCTTCAGACTTTGGCTGGCAAATCTTCTCCCAACTAACTCTAGCTCCGGCAGTAGTAATGTCAGAACGTTTCCAGAAGTATCTAGAGCAAAGTTTCTCAATCCTATTGATAATAGATTGTGGCAAGATTAATTGCCTGCACCAGTAATTAGCAACACTGAAAAGGACAGTCTTCACCAATTCAAGTATGTCTGTATAGCTCAAATTCTTTCTTGACCATTGATGGAGTCTGGACTTGATCTTGTCAATTAGGACCTCACAATCTTTTCAGTGAGTTTCCTTGTGACAAGAGGAACCCCTAAGTATCTAACAGGCAAGCAACCAAGTTTGAATCCAGAAAAGTTTAAAATAGTCTCAAGATTTTGAACTGAGATTCCAGCATTGAATAATTCGCATTTTGTAGCATTAAGCTTAAGACCAGATAATTCATAGAAGCAATCTAAGAATGTAATGACTCTCGTAACAGATTCAAGGTTGCCTTTGAAGAAGATTAATAGGTCATCAACAAAAGAAAGTTGAGTGAGACCTATCTTCTTATATTTAGGGTGGAAGCCAAACATACCTCTAGTAGTAACAATATTAAGAATTTTGGATAAAATGTTCATTGCAAGAACAAATAAAATAGAGGAAAGAGGGTCACCTTGTCTGATTCCCTTAGCACCCTTGAAGTAGCCAATCAAGCTTCCATTGAATGAGATGGAATATCTCGCATCAACATAACAAGCTTCAATCCACCCAATGAATTTACTTGGTAAATCTAATGCCTTAAGGACAGCAGAAATGAAGCCCTAGTGGATAGATTCAAAAGCCTTTTGGAGATCTATTTTCAAAGCACACCTAGGTGAAATAATCTTCCTCCCATAACCTTTCACCATTTCCTGAGCAATAAGTGTATTATCAATAATACTCCTCCCTTTTACAAAAGCAGATTGGTTAGGAGAAATTATCCATAGTAGTAGATTTGTCATCCTTCTAACAAGGATCTTTGTAATGGTCTTGTAAATCACTAAGCAACATGAGATATGGCGGAACTCAGATACCTTGTTGGGATTAGGAAGTTTATGAACCAATGCAATTGTAGTGGCATTAAAAGTTGGGTAAATGAAAGTCTCATGAAAAAAATACTTAATAGCCTCAACCACCTCATCTCCAACCATTGGTCAGGCTTTTTTGAAAAAATATGAAGTAAAATCGTCTGGGCCAGGAGCCTTGTCATTGCCTTGACTGAAAATGGTCTCATTTATCTATTCCCTGGTGACATCTTGGATAAGGGCATCAGAATCTTCAAGGGTCAAGCTAGGGTGCATCAGGTCTTTAAGAAGACTAGGATCACATTGTTTAACTTTTGGATCAGAAGAACCTAACAATTTTTTGAAAAATCAGTTACTTCATAAGACATTTCAGCAAATGAATCAAGTCTTCTACCCTGATCATTGATAAGAACCCTTATAGTGTATCTTTTGTTCTTTGTAGCAATAAGAGAATGAAAGAACTTAGTACATTTGTCTCCCTCTTTTAACCAATGCACTTTAACTTTTTACTTTTAAAACATGACCTCTGCTTCTTCCAGAGATTTTAACTCTCTTTGAAATTTCAATTCCTTTTCAATAGAGTATTCACCTCTTAAAGTAGAGATTTGTTGTAACATCCTCAATACCGGGTTAGTGACTAAATTAAAAAGTTTCAAATTTTGGTGATTAAAATAGAATGAATGAATAGTATAAAGATATATATGTAAATGATTGTGTAGGATTGAATTGAAAGGAAGTAGGAATGGAAGGGCAAAAGAGTCATTGCAAGGATCAATTAATTAAACAAGGGATAAGGATATATATGAATACAAGTGGGTTGAAAAGGAGAGAACCAAAGGCTTCCAGACTTATCTTCTTCTTCTTTCTTCCTTGTACGCGTGAACCAAAGCAAAGGTAAAATTTCTGATTATTGAGTTTCTTATTAAATTTAATATTGGGTTTTGATTATTAGATGATAACTAAGCTTAAGGAAAGCTTAAGTTATCTTAACATCAAAGGATGATTGAGTTAGGAGAGATTTAAGATTTGAAGTTCTTAAATGAAATCTTGGAATAGAGTTCATAACTAGAATTGAAAGTTATATTTGACTTGTCATCAATCTAGTTAAGATATACGAAGTGTTAAAAACGGAATTCAAACATGTTGATTTATTAATGTAATTCTTGAATTATATATGAATGATAGGATTTGAAGGTTTAAGATGAAATAAATGAGTATAAATTGGTTTAAGGATGTGTACTAGAGTTAAGAATGAAAAAGGGGATTAAACATGAAGGATTTAATCCAAATGAATGAACTTTCGGGTTCAAAAAGAGGATTCTGGGCAGAGTGCACCGATGCACATTCATGGTGCATCGATGCATCAAGGTTAAAACCCAGAAATTATATGAATGTGCATCGATGCATTGGTAGTGCATCGATGCACTATTTTAAAATAAAGACATCGAATGCAATTCGTGCATCGATGCATAAGTAGTGCATCGATGCATCCCATTAATAGTGAAACATCGAATGCAATCGGTGCATCGATGCATAAGGAGTGCATCGATGCATCCCAACAATAATACTACATCGAATACCTTTGATGCACCGATGCATCAGTAGTGCATCGATGCATACCTTCATTAAAAGATGAAATTGACTTTTCTCTTAGTCTAAAGAGTGAACCATTAGAGTATATTAGTTATAATACTGATATACATCCATGTGTGATTATGTAGATACTAAAAGTAAGCTTATTCCGGAACGATCAAAGGATTAGAATCGAAACAAAGCAAAGCTAAGGTGAGTGCATACTAGATGTATATTATAATGGAATAAGACTTGTGATAAGTCTAATCCCTATGTTGATTTTTATAATATAATAGTTGTGAACATGCATACATGATAATTGTGGTTATACATGCATAAGACATATATATGTTCATGTGATATGATATGTGATATGATATGTGATATGACATGTAATATGAGAACATGATATGAAGTGACATGAGCTACATGATCACAAGAGAAATGACAGAAGTATATGAACATATGAAAAATAAGAATAATGCCCATAGTATACGATATGAGAACTATAGGTGTAGTTGGCATGCCAAGAGTCGAGGGTATAATAGTCCTTCGGGATGTAGTCCTTCGGGATGTAGTCCTTCGGGATGTAATGGTCCTACGGGACATAGATAATAGTCCTACGGGATGAATACTGAACTAAGGTTCGGTGCCCCATGAGGGAATTGATACGAGCTGTGGTGACAGCATTAGTGCACAACCTCAATGTACTCACATACCTCTATTCTCAATAATATACATGGGCAATGCAATTGAAATACCGATTTACAGTGAAAGTGATACAAGAAGGTAAGTTTCGTATGTGCATTATATGATTATATATGTTATCATGTGATAAATAAATGCACATTGAAATGTCATGATCCAATGGTAAGTATGAACATTCATAAGTTTATCGTTGCATATTCATTTATTGCCTCACTAAGTCTATGACTTAGCGTGTAAGTGATTTACACGTAGGTACCAAGAATCAGGAAGAGTGGAAATAGAAGTAGCACAGGCAGCAATACTACTAAGAGATCAGATCAGAAGTAAATTGACAAAGTATGTACTTGATTATGTATAGAGTGTTGGTATATAATAAGTGTTAATTACGAATACTCTGATCGATTTTGTATTTTATGGTCTTATGTAAATTAATGTATTTCGTTTTAATGAAAGTTTTAAAAATTCCCGGGATTTTCTGTAAGAGTCAAAGATTTGAAAAGTCAATGTGACACCTCGGACTTGTATTCGGGTCGGATATGAGTTAAGGGTGTTA